ACAGCCGTTACAGCCTAAACAGGGCTCCATAACTACCACTGCCTTTGCAGAGAGACAGTCAGAGAGATGGATAGGCACCAGGTCAGGAGCTGAAACTGCATTGGTACATCAGACAAGATCTCCCTCAGCACTTTCAGGTTCTTCTTAAAAGACTAGAGTGCTTTTCTCCCTTATAAAGTACCAAAGAAATGAATATGAAATTTTAAAGGCTAGGGAGGTATAAACTTCTACAGAACACTCACTTTAGAGTTTCTCCCAGCAAATTTTGAGGAAACAGATGCAGTTCAGTTTCTAAGAATCTTCGGAGAGGCTCAATAAAAATGTGCTAGTTGCTACAGAAACCTGATAGAGAAGACATTTACCATGCCAAGCAAACAGTGAGGTATTGAAGTCAAACATGATACGTCATAGATATATTTTTAATATTAAACAGTGTTTTAAAATAATAACTAACATAACATTTTGTTTTTCAGTACTGGATTGCTGGAAAGGAAACCTGGTTTCCTGCTGCTCTCCTAAACTATGGTCATAAAAATAAAGCTTATTACAAAATATTCTATTCCTATTTCTCTTATGGTTTCATGTTGTGTCATTACAAAAACCTGTGTGCTATACATAATGATATTCTTTACACTAAGACACTTTTAAGTCTCTTCCTTTAGCAATCATCACGACCACTACCCACAGGGTATTACTGCATGAATAAGGCCAGATTTTGCCATCTCCGATGACAGCTGCAAGACTTAATACTGGAGAATTGCTGAAGGGAAGGCAGTGAGTCATCTCTCTTGCTCTGTGCTGTGAAAACTTCACATATTTATTCTTCAAGAAAAATGGATTTGAAAACAGTCATGACTGGAAAGATGAAATACCTCTCTTCTGCTCCTTCAGTCTCTCCTAACAGTGCCTTCATGAAGTCCCCCAGGACATTCCATGGACCCTTTTTCCTTATTCTTAAATTGCCATCTGTAGTTTTATGCTAACAACGCCCATAGTCCTGTGAGAAAGTCCAGGCCAGCCACTAGAAAGACCATGTGTAGCAATACTAGCACACACCGCTGCAGGGGTTTCTACATGCCATCTCGTAATGTCTGCCATAGAAAGTTAAATCCCCAGTTTGCTTTGCCAGGTAGCAGAGATGGTATCAGCAAGAGACACAGAGTCCCACAGGCAGGTTTCCAGCCACAGCACTGGAAGACACCCTTAACCATCCCTAGGCAGATGCTTCTGTGTTGGAGAAGAGCTGGTTTTGTTCAAGCAATTTTGCTGTGGTTACAGAGAGGATTTACCTCAAGACACTCAGAACACTACAGAAGAGTTGGTTGGAAGGGATTTCTAGAGATCATAAAATCCATCCTCATCCACCTTGACACAGTACATTGCCAGCAACAGATGAGGTCAACAAGAACCTTACCCAGACAAGTCCTGAAACCCAGGATGGCAGAGCACACCATCTCTGCATGTCTCACTCCTCTGCAGCATGAACTGCCTATGCAAGAGGGTTTTTACCATATCTCTGCTCTGAACCTGTCAAGCCACAGTCTGTGACTCTTGCCTCTCTTGCATCTGCCACAAGCAAGAACAGTTTGGCTCCTTCGTCTAACAATCCCTTCAGGAAGTTGGGATGCGTTTACATGCAAATGGATGATAATGAAGGTGCACAAGCCTTGAAGAGCTTTATCTGTTAACTGAAATAAAACCTTTTTCTTTCCAGAATAAATGCATCCTAAGTCTTCTTCACTCCAGTAAAGCATGTACTGGAGCCCAAGTCTCCAAGGACAACTTTCACTATAACAGAAGCATTCAAAAGAAGAATACATCCCATTTCCAGCTTCCTAAGTCTTTGCAAAAGCCTCCAGACAGAGTTATAAGGCTTTAACGTTTTTTTTATCATCACCTGCTTCCAAGAAGTTCTGCCTTACCCTCTTCTACAAATTCACAGCAGAGGATTCCAGTTTGCCCAGCAGTGCCGTTTCAACATGTAGCAGGTCCTCAAACACCATGAAATAATGATGGAAACCCAATCATATCTGGTCAGACCAGCAGTGAAGTTTCTAACTCACACATGCAGATTTGTTTGGTTTTAGCACTTTGGATAAATGGCCATCTGTGAGGTCATCCCTTTGAGTGTTAACATCCTGGGCTATTTATTTGTTATTCATCAAAGTAAAGTGCTCCCAATTTAAGGGCACAGGAATAAGTTTTCAGAAGAGAAGCAAGATACCAAGAAAAGTAAAATTAGAGCAGACCTAGTTAACTCTTGCCAGCATGGGCTGGTTTTCCTACTAGTCATTTGGTATGTGGGTTTCATATCTTCAAAGCTGGATGTGATCTTTTAACTTGGTAATTTTAATGATTCAAACACATCCCAGGTGAACACTTGTAGAGATCCTAAGCTCATAAGAATGACCTCAGCAAACAATTCTCTTGATGATAATGTAATTTGAGTTGACTTTCTATACACATATATGCTCTAACCAGCACACATTTGAAAGCATATATAGTGATGACCAAAACTATACCTTGCCATATACAGCTCCCTGAACAGCTTTTGGCTCTAACACGCTACAAATTTAAGGAAAGTGCATAAACACAGCCAATTCATCTAGCAGAGAGCCCTGTATCCAACTATGTCTAAAAGCAAGAGGATATGGAAGAGCAAGGCAAGCACAGAATGGCATTTTGCTGATATATTTCTGCAGCTTCCAGCATTCATACACTCTCAGAACTTACAGTACCCCAAACAGTAAAATCCACAGATTAATCACACACTTCATGAAAACTTACCTTTGTTATTTTCATTGCTATGAATAGTTTAGTATGATTAGCAAACTTTATCATTACTTTCCAGCAGATTATTTCCCATATAATTTGTGAATGTGCTGAATATCACTAGCATTTGTAGAGTTCTCGCCACCATCAAAATCGACTATTTAAACCTTTTCTCTGTTGATTACCTTTTAGTTAGGTAGTAATACTCAGGGCACCATGCCTCTCAGATCTGGGTAACTTACTTTCTTTGTGAACCCCCGATGAGAAATCTTAATAAAAGTCTTTTGCAAACCCCAGTAGAAGATCTTAATCAAACCATCCTATCCACTGACCCAGTGACACCTTCAAAGAGCTGCAGCAGATCTGAGAGACAGTACTTACTGCTGCCTTCCCCTAAATATCTGGTTTATTTCAATCCAGTGTATCTGTGCATCATTTATTGCATTCTTTCTAATAATAAGTCCACCAAATTTAGTCAGACGTGGTTATTTAGACAAAGGCATTGCTAACAATGAAGTTAATGTTTACTGCTGATAGTAATAAATGAGTCACCTTTCTTGTTCTTTCTAAAAAAAAAAAATAATTTTGCTTTGTGCATAGACTTAGAATAAGCAGGAATAATGTGGGAAAATGGTGATAGGATTATTTAGCATGAAACACGCAGGGTTGGAAAAATTACCAGGCACTTGTTTAAAATCAGAATCCATAGCACGTTTTTTGGTAATTTTACAGGCAATAATAACACAACAAAAAAATCTGTTTTCATAAGAGACATTAATTGTGTTATGTTTCTTAATAACTGAAGCTTACAGAGCCCTTTAGGTAAAGAAAGCCCATACTGTGCAGAGGGATTTCACAACATCCTGTTTATTTCAAACAGGACTTCAGAGTGTCACTGGGTAAAGAAAATGTGAGAGCATTTGTTCAGCATTTTGCTAGACAAACGTAGAAACTATATTTGAATATCCTAAGCTCTTTTGACAGATGTGGCTTTTAAATTGCCAAGACAACATAAATAACAGCTCTAAATATAAACAGCCAAATGCTCCAATCGCAACTACAGCTCTTACTGCTGTGATTACTACACACTGACAAGTTTTTAGACCTGTCCCTTGCTATTTGTTCCTCAACTACAGGACAAAATCCTTCACTGGCTTCTCTAATCCACACAGACATGTATCCAGCTCAAACATTCATGTGGACTTCAGTCGTGCCTGGAGAAGCCTGTAACTTCTCAGACTTGACTATGGTTCAGTTTTGTTTCCAAGTACCATTACAGCATGCTGTAGACTTATATAAAACATATGTGTATCTCCTGACTATTACTTATTCCTTGTGTTTGGGGTTTGTTTTTTATTTTTCTTTCCTAAAGCAGGGGAGTGTCTTCCCCTCTCTCTCCAAAGCATTTCACAGAGAGCTTCTCCATCAAATAGCAAAACCTCTGGCATACAATTAAATAACTCACATCAGCATTTCCATCTGAAAAAAACCACAAAAGGAAACAGAAGTGATGTGTTCGCTTTAGCCTGATTTATCCCAAAATTGAATACACATCCTGGCAAAACAATAGGTATTTTCCTAAGATCATCTGTCACAAGGGACAGAACATAAACTTCACCTCTGGTCTATTTGATGAGGTTTATTATCCCAGAAGAAAGTGAAATCAGACACTCATCCCAAGTTGCAAAGAAGAAGAATTTGAAAGCAGAGCGGTATTTCAGACAAGTTAGCAAAACTACAATTTGAGAAACAGAAAATGATAGATTGAAGAAGATAATTTGCCATGTTCAGAGGGTTTTTTCAACTTTCCATGTGACATTCTTTTTGAACAAACTGCTTTTCTGCAAGCAGTTTTACTCTTACCGTGTCATGAAGAGTATTTTATTCTCTTTGAAAAATTACATGGTCCACACTGGTATTTGATTTGAGCATGCAATTTTACTTTCTCTGCCCCTCTTTGATATGCTATTTTTTTTCTCTAGTTTTGTCAATTTTGATTGGGAAGATGAAGGAGTCCTGTGCTGTATGTGCCTAGAGCCCACTACCACAGGAGTTCAGATTCTGTGTACATCTCAAGACCCTTCTGCACTAAAAGTGGTATCATTGTCAACCATCCTTCTAATCTGGATCTTAAATATATGTGTTTGTCTTTTGATATTTCAATGCCATTTAACATAAGATGAATGGTATACTAGTGTGCAAGAAAGAAAAAAAGTTCATCTACTCACCTCGACAGTAGTAATTTACCATGAAGTTTTAAATCAGCAGCACAATCATCAGATTGACAGTTCCTCTCAAAAACAGTCTGTGAAAAACACAAAAGAACTGTTAAAGCATGAAAGGAGGAAGATCAAAGTTCAAAGAAGGAACATGCTTGGATGAAATAAGAAATCACTAAAATCTGTGATACAGGAATATACAGTGTGAGTGTTAAGGAAATTCAAGGTGAGGCAAATCTTATCCTTATAAGAACTGGTTTTATTCTCTTCTAACCGCACAATAAATTTCATCAAACTACACTCTCTCAGAGGTTTTCCCCAATCCATTCTCACTTCTCATCCGACAAGAATTACTGCTCATACAATATTTCTGGCATTCTTATTTCTCTTCCCAAAGTAGGTCCATGAAAATCAAACAGAAAATAAAGTATTTATGAAACTATTTTTAGTCCTAAGAATTGCAAGTAATAAAATCATACAGCAAATATTTTCACTAGATTTTATGTACAGTACGAAACATTTCTGACATCCTGCAAGCAACAGAAAGTGACAAAGACTGTTACATACCAGTGATACCCTCAAATAATGGAACCATTGTCAATGTTGAGAACTCCAGTAATGCTTAGAATCACAGAATATGCTGAGTTGGAAGGGACCCACAAGGATCATTGAGTCCTCTTAACCCTGCACAGGATCATCTAGGAACTATGAAGGGACAACATACAGACATGCTATTTAAGTGGCAAAAAGCAGGGGAGTACATGAGATGTCTATGAACTGATGCATATCTCTGTAGTAGTGTGCCTTGGCTAAATAAGGCAGCTACCAGTAAGTGAAAGAAGAGAACATGAACATGTTCCCGGCATCAAAGAAATCCAGATGCTGTCAAGATCAAGGTTACCTTCCCCTGCTGTTTAGACCAGAGATCAATACCTTTCTGAACATAAGGTGAGACTTTTCAGGCTGGAGGACTCACTCTTTCAGAATTGTAATGCTCTTCAGCTTACCATATATCGAAACACCCAAAATGAGTGCTACCAACACTGTTCAGCCAGGAAACCTGACAATCCACCAATCTTTTCCTTTAATATGAATGTTCCTTTCTTCAGTCTTGGCTTCATTATTTTAATTACAAACCTAATATAATTCAATCATAAATGCAAAGACAGAGAAAATCTGTCCAGGACATACATAACAGTCAGATAGGGTTGGAGAGACTGAGTAGGAAAAAAAAATTTATGGAGTTTGTACATTTTTTAAGAGTTCTGCCCAACAGTATCAGGATTGGAGAAAGACTTGAACCTTAGGCCCAGAGGGCATAGCGACTTCTGGTCCTTTCCAGGAAGATTCTTGACTAAGGAGGCAGCTTGTTCTCCTTTTAATATGTTGTCAGAGCTCTCCCAAAAGGAGTGGACCTCTATAAAGTTAATTGGTGTTGGACTAGCAGATATCAAACTATGCACTGAGTTGCAAAAGAAGAAAGATGGAAGGTGGCCAGTTCATCTGGGCTATTTTTACTTCGCTCTTTCACGTTCCTTCCCCACCTTTTGCTTTCTCAGAATCTCAGAAGTGAAATTTATTGTGGCTTTAAAAACAAGGACTCCTTAATAAAGACTATCACAACTAAAGGACAAGAATAGCGCTGAGACAGGAACAGATGCTAGGCATCCCTCGCAAAACATGACACATATCAGAGGTATAGTTTCCAAAGTCCTCAGAATTAATCCCCAACCACTGTAGTAGCTATACATAGGAAAGACTGTTTGACCTTGAGAGGAGAAAGAATAATAAACTGTAAAAAAATTCTTGCCTGTCAGTTTCCCTGTTTGCATTGCAGAAATCTTGGCAAAGCGAACACAGTGATCTAAAAATTATCTGTACATTTCAAAGTATAAAGTACTGTAAGTACATTTAAGTAACTATCTAATAACCCTGCCATTTTGTTACTTAATCTATAGTTACAGTTCTGCAGAATGAATTAACAAATATTTCATTTTCTAAAATCACTGAACATGTATTTCTTCCAGCTTGCATTAGACAGCAAGTGATTTTGAAATACATAGAGAGTATTTTACTATATCACAGGAACCCTAGTTCCTATATAGCACTGGGTTGGGAGAAAGAAATTATGGTGATGAGTCCCCAGATCTGTAGCTGTGTTGTAGTCAACTGTTTGCTTCTGTGGAGGATCTTGAACCTGCTCAGGTTTGGGGGGAGCTTTGTCACCTCAAAGCAGCTGGCTGAACTGGATTTCCAGTCCAACAGGCTGCTAGGACTCATGGATGCAGGCACAACTGATTCAGTAGCCCAGGAACTGATTAGCACTTCCAGGCTAAAGACACCTCTGGATTATTTTGCTATTTTCCACTATTTCCCTGGTCTACCAGGACTCAACTCCACTTTCCCTTCTTGTATGTATTCTAGAGTCTCAACCCTCTAGCTTCTTACAGTCCGTGTATTTCCTCCATTTTCTTCTCTGTTAATTTGAGCATTCTCTTCCTCAGCCTTTTGCTGTTTTCTGCTTTTCAAATTGACTAATTCCTGCCTGTTTAAATTCCTCCTAAAGAATTAAGAGAGTAAACACACTTTAAGGCATCATAAAATTTGTGACCACTACTTACATATTCTGTTACTGTGCCCTTACTCAGGCTACTGACTGCAATTTCTTTGAGCCAGAAACTGTACCTAACTCAACACTGTAGGCTGTTACAGCAGGAGTCCACTCCTGGGATATGGCACAGGTCCTACTACAATATCATAATGAATTTTAAATCCAAGCAGTCTTTAAACTGGTTGCAGCTTTAAAATACCAGTTTTGAGGATTTATAGAGCTCTTTAAATATTAAAATTGTTAAAGAAGGTAAGCAGTGGGTTGTATGTGTTATCCATAACTGAAAAAAGGAAGTAGGGTAAAACATTCACTGCACTGTGTAAACAGTTCATAATTTTTGCTGTTACTATTACCCAAAGTGAAGAGCAACAATTCTGAACAGTGACTTTATAGAAATCTAATTGAATTTTACTGTATTCTACTAACATTGAACCAAGTACCTCACAGCTTTGAATATGTATATCAGAGATGGTCAAGAAGCTTCCTTACATTAAGAAATACATACATAAAAAACTGTGGGGGGGTGAAGGGCAAAAATTATCCTCAGTGAAAAACACAGCCACACCTCTTATCTCAAAGCCACCACATGTTTGTCTGGCATTTCCACAAGAAAAATAGGTGTTTGTGTGCTCAGTAGCAGGGACAGGATAACCTCAATGCTTCTACAACACATCTTCACTGTACAAACACAAAACTAATGTAAAGTACATGGTCACTGAGTCTGTCAGACTTCCTGAAATCACCAGATCTACAGCAAAGCACAGATCAAACGCAGTGTTTCTGGGGTCCATGATTCCCCTCTGCACTCTCTCCTTTGCTGCCCAGAGGAGAGAAATTGTTCCTCAGGAACAATTGTTCCAGGGCAGTTCTCACCATGTCACCAAACTTCCTGGACAAACACAGTTTTCTCAAGTTCTGCATGGCGACTTTTCTGAGTAAAAAAAGATAATGCTTCTTGGGAGATCAAAGAATGCGATAGATATGTCCCTGAGAGGTTAGAAAAGATGGATAGTGCTCATATCCTCCAGTGGGTAAGTCAAAAAGCCTACATTAAGGTACACTCATTATAAAGAGTGAATATACACATCTGTACATAATCAAATGTACAGTAAGGAGAAATCTAAAGATAGTTGATCAGGAAGGGAATATGTCTACATAGGCAGACACATCAGGGCCTCAAAGCAAGTATCTGTGCCCATTATGCCTCTTGAAGAGAGGAATAAGAATTAAATTCCACATTTTGTGGTAAAGGCCAGGGGTAAATGTAGTAGAGAGTAAGAGGGGGATAAATCTTTAGTTCCTGCATCCTAAGCCATCCTAAGCACAAAGCTTCTGGGTATTGGGCACGTAGATATTCTCCTTTTCCTTCTTGCTGATAATGGACTGCTACTGAAAGTTGCTAGGAGGTAAAAAAAGAAAGAAGGAGCCTGGCTTCAGGCTAATGATCAGAGCTCTGTACTCAGAGGAAGGTGATCTGGGATTTCATACCAGGTTTACTAAACTGCTTCACTTTCTTTCAATGGCTATCAAAAATTAAACACATCTCTGTTTCTGAAGTAGGGAAGAGAACAGGAAATATAGAAAATAAAAAAAACCAACTCTGCATTTATGGCACTACCCCCTACAGAAAATACTGGAAATCTTCCAATAAACTAAGAGGAAAAAAAATTATTTCAAGATATCCATTCTCCCAAAATTCAGGGAAGCATATGAAAATTTCAGGTTGTAGCTGAAGTGTACAAGACTTTGAGAGGTTGCCAGCACTGTTCACTAGAACAGTGTTCTAGTGTTCTAAGAGTTCTGCCCATCCTTTCACAGAAACGGAAGGTGACAGCTGAAGGTCAATGCTTGAAGAGAAGGGGGGAAAAAGGAGGAGAAACAAAATTCTCAAAAGAATCCTTGAAAACATCATTTTATGGACATGGATAAGAGAGCAGTGATTCACTTGAGATCAGGCGTTAAAGTACTTCCTCACACATCAGTCAGATAGCACCCCTTAAAAAGCAGTAGACCTGGCTTTTGGTAAATGAGGATCCATTCCTTCAACTTCATAAACTGTGCCATGGACTTCTACAGAAAAAATAAGGTTATGCAAAATAATCTGGGTTAAGAATACAGTATTTCAATCTCTGATTTCCTGTAAATTGTCGCCAAAACCTGTAGCATGTGCAGAGATGACTTAACAATTAGATCAGGCTAGCAGCACAAAACCAATTCAATAAGGGTGCTTGTTATTCTAATAATTCTTTACTTTTTAGATCTTGATGCTATATGGTTATAACCACGCCATCTGGTAAAGCTGAGTTCTTGGACCCTTATTCAGAGATGAGGATATATGATCCAATTTTCAAAAGTGCTGAGCTGTAAGCAAAGCTCACTACCTTTCCTAGAAAGTATTTTTTGTTTATAGCTTTACACTATACACTTTTCACTCACTGTGCCTAAATATAGATACAGGAGCCTGATTTTAGACCT